ATTCTGTCATCTTTTAGGAAAGTATAATTCCACATGAATCTGTTTTCTTTCTAGTTATATCTAATTGAGGACAGTAGTCCTAAAATATTAGTAGTCCTAATTTTAGAGACAGTTCAATATAAAATTAAAAGGTAGTTATAATTTGAATATTCTTAAATATTAAATAAATCTGCAAGATGAATTGGCTATTATGCATCATCTTCCTCCCCCAACACAATCCCACTTTAGGAGTATTACTTTTATCTAGTTTATCTAGTTTATTTTTTATTGTCATTAAGACCTGTGGTATTTTTTTATCTGGTTAAAAGATTACTTGATAAGATACTTCTTTACTTTGATACTCTAATTATATTGAATTCTGTTATTCTCTGGGGAGTAAATGTGAAAGTCATGTAATCAAAACTGGATCAGGTCGTCCCCCAAATATGTTTCTTTCCATAAAAGAAATCTAGGGAAATATTCTGAAGATGGAGACTAATGGCTAAAAAAACATCAATCAATGAAAATAAAAATGACTTGTTCTTTTCCCAAGTTTTTGTCTTACCCTAAACGTACCTAAAGGTACACTGGAATGGGAGAAATGCCTCTGCATCGAGCTTGATTGCTTTCCTCACTCTCCCATTTAAATGCCTTGGAGATGGTAAATCTGAATAAATGTGTATTCAGTTCAGTTCAGTTGCTCAGTCATGTCCAACTCTTTGCGACCCCATGGGCTGCAGCACGCCAGGCTTCCCTGTCCATCACCAACTCCCAGAGCTTACTCAAACTCATGTCCATTGAGTCGGTGATACCATCCAACCATCTCATCCTTTGTCGTCCCCTTCTCCTCTCGCCTTCAGTCATTCCCAGCATCAGGGTCTTTTCAAGTGAGTCAGTTCTTCGCTTCAGGTGGCCAAAGTACTGGAGTCTCAGCTTCAGTATCAGTACTTCCAGTGAATATTCAGGACTGATTTCCTTCAAATGTGGATTGCTGCTGCTGCTGCTAAGTCACTTCAGTCATGTCCGACTCTGTGCAACCCCATAGACAGAAGTCCACCAGGCTTCTCCGTCCCTGGGATTCTCCAGGCAAGAACACTGGAGTGGGTTGCCATTTCCTTCTTCAATGCATGAAAGTGAAAAGTGAAAGGGAAGTCGCTCAGTCATGTCCGACTCTTAGTGTCCCCAGGGACTGCAGCCCACCAGGCTCCTCCATCCATGGGATTTTCCAGGCAAGAGTACTGGAGTGAGGTGCCATTGCCTTCTCCAATGTACAAAAAGTTATTGATGGGAATTCTCTGTACATAACAGATAAAAGAAAATTTCATTTATTGATTCTCAAAAGCTAGGACTGAAGGTAGGGGATAAGGAACATTACTGAGCAGGAACAATGAAACTGAATTAAGTTAAATTCAGTAAGAATCAATAAATGAATTTTTCTTTTATCTGTTATGTACAGAGAATTCCCATCAGTAACTTTGTACATTTTTTACTTCCTTATGGGGTCTAAGTAAAAAAAGAGAAAGAATCATAGGAGACTTGTATGGTGGTTGTGGTGATCATTTTACTTCTTTGACCCTCCCTGCTAGTGAAGAAAAAAAATAAATTAAGACCTGAGTAGCTGCTGCAGAGACTGAAGCCACTGTCATGGTCTCTCACCTAGAATACAGCAGCCCCCAACTGGTCTTCCTTTTTCCACCCTTGCTCCCTTAGTGTCCAGTCGCAGGACACTGCTCTGCTCAGGACGCTGCAGCGTGGCTCCCCAAGGTCACATTTCTTACACAGGCCTCTCAGGCTCTGCTTGCTCTGGTTGCCAGGACCTCTCTCACCTCTCCTACCTGTTCCGGCCACACAAGCCTCCCTGCTGGTCATGTTTCCTCATTAGAGACTTTGTTCTTCCTGCTTCCACTCCCTCATGTATGTTCTTTCCTCAGATATCTGGTTGATCAATTCACTTCCATCCAGTCTTGCCTCAAATCTTAGTTTGTCAATATAAAGCCTACAATGGCTATCTTCTAAAACTTTAACCTGCCCCCATACACTCCCATAACTCCTTATGCTATTACTGTTTTAATTATGATAAGTATGGTTATTCTGTACTAATGATTTAACCATGAAAACAGATGAACAACAAAAGCGTCTTTCTCATCTGTGCTTCATATCCATTATGGGTCAGCACGCGACTCTGATCCACTTAGAACCTCAGAGACCCGGGGTGAGGGAAGTTTGCCCATCTGGTGATACGCCTCAGCATACAGCTTCCAGTATCACATCTGTAGGAAAGAGAGCATTCATAGGATGATTAAAAGTGGTACACGTCACCTTTGTTCCTAGTTCATTGGTCAAAACCAGGCACATGGCCCCAGTCTCATTGCAAGAAGAACACAAGGAATATTTGATGAACATTACTGTTTCAGCTCTGTGTGTGTGCGTGCATGCATGTGTGTGTGCACACTCAGTTGCTCAGTTGTGTCTGACTCTGTGACCCTGTGGACTAGTGCCCACCAGACTCCTCTGTCCATGGAATTTTCCAGGCAAGAATACTGGAGTGAGTTGCCATTTCCTTCTCCAGAGGACTGTTTTAGCACCTTTTCCCTTTTTATTTCTCTATAGTACTTATTATTCTTTATTATGTAATTTGTATATTCTATATAAAGTATCATTTATATATTTACATATCATATAATTTGCATATTTTATGTTTATTATTAAGTTGACTTTCCTGAGTAAGAATTTAAACTTATTCTCCTAGAAAACCTCACTACTTAAAACTTCTTGGACATAAACCTTTCTTCACTCGCTCCTACTGTTTGTAATGTCCTCTATCATTTTTACCCTGTGCTTCTCTTTCTTCTGTAAAGATTAAATCCTACTCATCTTTTGAGACAATGTGAATCATACTTCGTTTGGGAGACTTTAAAGATCCATCCCTTAGACTCCCCCTATCATGGCACTTACCCTCCTTACAGAATTACTTGTCTGACTGCATCATTAACCAGGTTCCTCATGCATATCAGAAAACGTCTGAAGGAATACCTGGAGCCTAGAAAAGGATCTATAAGGATCTGAAAAAGACCGTATCAGTAGGGTGAAGAGATGACAGAATTAAGAAATATTCAGAAAGTAAAATCAGTAAGACTTCATTATTGGTTGAATATGAGGGATAAGGAAGAAATCAAGGATAATACATATTTCTCATTTAGATTATGAGGCTTCCAAATGAAATGGGGAAAATGAGAGGAGGAACAAGTCTTGTTGGTAGGATGATGAGTAGGGTTTGAGGTATGATGGGTTTAACTCCATAAGGATCTCAAGTTGGAGATATGTGCAGAGGCTGGCTAAATGGTTCTTAATCCAAGGACATGCATAGGTCTTCAGCATGCTGAGTAATAGAAGACAAGGTGAAACTGCCGGTAACTACTAAGGCCAGAACCCTTAGTTATACTAATGCTTAAGGAACAATGAGGAATGTTTTCTTGTGTGGAAAACAGAGAAAAAAATAGATGGTGAAAGGGGAATGAGAGTGTGATGCTGTCAAAATCAAGGTATTTAGACATTCAAGAAAAAATATTTGGGCCATAGTAAATGGAGTGTGAGTGAGCTAAGTTGCTTCAGTTGTATCTGACTCTTTGTGACCTCATGGACTGTAGCCTGCCATGCTCCTCTACCCATGGGATTCTCCAGGGAAGAACACTGGAAGTGGGTTGCCATGCCCTCTTCCAGCGGATCTTCCCGACCCAGGGATCGAACCTGCATCTCTTACGTCTCCCGTACGGGCAGGCGAGTTCTTAGCACTAGCACCACCTGGGAAGCCCCTAGAGAAATCAAATCAAAACAACTGTGCACTAAATCTTGGCCACTCTTGCAGCATTATGTAACTCCTTTCTTTTAACCTCACTACTTATTGAACCAGTTTGGATACTTAATGAACGGAACCATCTTGGCTTCAATTTCATTGGGAAATTTGAAGTAATCAGGCACAAACTGTCTCAAATGTGCCCTCTCTTCTTTATTTACAAACTTAAGACACGCCCAACCATCAGTCATTTCCTTCTCCCCTCTAGTATTAGGAGCTTCAAAGTCACCTCTAGTTAGTACTAGAGGTGTGCCATTGGTACTGAAGTGAAAGTGAAAGTCTCAGTCGTGTCCGCCTCTTGGCGACCCCATGAACTATACAATCCCTAGAATTCTCCAGGCCAGAATACTGGAGTGGGAAAGATCCCCCTTTCCACTTCTCTGGGGGATCTTCCCAAACCCAGGGATCGAACCCAGGTCTCCCACATTGCAGCCAGATTCTTTACCAACTGAGCCACAAGGGAAGCCCAAGAATACTGGAGTGGGTAACCTATCCCTTCTCCAGGGGATCTTCCCGACCTAGGAATTGAACCAGGGTCTCCTGCATTGCAGGCAGATTCTTTACCAACTGAGCTGTGAGGGAAGCCCAACTGATACTAAAAGTCATCTGCATTTTAAGTTTTTTCCCTCTTTATGGTTTTCTGCTTCCAATATCCCACCAAAGTTTTTTGTAATATAGTTGCTATTTGAAATTATTAATGGACAAAAAATTGCATGGTGTTTAACATTGAAAGGAAGATGGGGAAATGGCAAACGGCAGTCACTGATGGAAGAGAGAGGGAGATAATGCCTTCTCCCCAGGGAAGCGATGACACTAAGCTGGACCAGAGTCAGGTGCTTTTCCAGAGGCACTTTCATTGTGCAGTTATAGTAAAAGTATGTCTTTTATTTGTTTTTCTTCTGTAGCAGGCCAGTGATTGAGTCTTTACTGTAGAAGCAAAAATGAGCCAGTTCCCACAATGAAGACTGTAGAAACATTAGATTTGATTTATTTGTTCATTCATGCAAAAGTATTTCTTGAATGTCCATTATGTGCCATGCGTAGGCTTAGGTGCTGGAAATATAACAGAAAGTAAACACACACACTTCTTGTTCTCCTTGAGTTTTTATCTGCTTGTTTATATTTAGCCTGATTTACCTAACTAATTTTACTTTTTTTTCCCCTTCAGTATCCTCTCACATATGGACTGATTCTTATTCCCTGCTGGTGTTCTCTAGTTTGCATAAGTAGAATTTACATGGGAATGCACTCCATTCTGGTAAGGAAAACGTGCTTTGTTTTTTCTAAAATCAACACGCAATTTTATAATATTTAATTATTTTTAAACTTACTGGAAGCTTAAGTGAGAAAATGTAGTTATTGTAAATCTTTTTTTCTTGCAAAAATAGCAACAGGATGTTTTGCAAAGTTTTAAAGTAGTTATAATATATATATTTCACAGAAACAGTTCCCAGCAATCACAGGTACCAAGTATTATTCAGGATAACAGTTCTCTGTCCTTCCAGGTTCACATTTATCTTCTTTTTCATTTTCTTCTATGCCTTTCCTACTGCTGAGTCAAAACTGACAATGTAAATACAGACACCAAGGAGCTCTACTTGTAAGTGAAAACCCAGTGAATAGAAATTAGATGAACAAAAACTGCCCTGGTGCCACTTGTTTTTGAATATTAAACTCTAGTTTTCTTCTTTCCCAACAGTATTTTAGGGCTTACATGAGATATTTTATTTTGAGAATGCAATTCAGTTTCAAAAGCAGCGGCACAGGAAGTCTATCTTTCAGCTATACCTGCTCACTTCCCTTCCTGTTCATCTGATTGACATTCCCTACTTCTGGCCCGCACCATCTCTAACTAGGGTACTGCAGCAGCTTCTTAATTAGTAGCTCCACGTCAAGTGTGACACTGCTCCATTCAGTGTTTAGCCTCCTATTGTAGTTTACTGTTCAAAACACAAATATGATGCCATATTGAATGACCTATGTTTGCTCAAATGTGAAGGGTGCTTTTTATCTTCACATTGTTAGGAATGCCGTAACCTCCACATGGAATGCTGTTTTCTGTTTCTTTGTTTGCCTAACCCATTGTTCATGACTCACCAGAAAATATTATCTCCTGAAGCCTTGTTACCTTCTCCATCTTTCCTTTCTCAGACTGGATAGGTGGCCTTTCTCCCAGAACATCTTGAGCATAATTCTGGCATAGCACTTATGCTGAATTTCAGTTGCTTTTTTATTTTCTTGTCATCCCCACTAGACAACAAGCAATATGAGAAAAATAACTCTACCCTCATGTACAGTGTGGTGTCTCTTAGAACACTTTGTGAAGGTATTATGTATTATATTATAGATCATGTGCTCACTTCGGCAGCACATATACTAAAATTGGAACGATAAAGAATCAGAAGGAAGATGGAGAGATAGGGATGAATTCATGGAATCCAAAAATTTATAAAGGGTTATATCAATTTTTTCTTGTCCTTAACAAATGAACACTTTTAGAATTTTCTCCTCATAAAAATATCTCATTTCATAGCTGAAAAATATTGGATTTCTGTTTCTTCCTCCAATTACTTACCTCCAGCAGCTGCCCCTTCACTAGTAAATTTACGAAAGTCCCAAATGCTAAGTTAGGAAGCAAAGTATTTGTGTTTTATTTTTTATAATTATTTATATTAATGCAAATCATGAATTGACATATAATTTTATCTTTCTGACTAGTCTGTACTAATCTTATAATAGACCAATTATCACCTTTTTATAGCAAATCTAATATTAGTCACAAGAAAATGTTTTCCATCTCTGTGCCTCATTACAGTTATTCCCTTCCACTCCCAATTAACAATATCTCACCTGAAAAACTACGAAAAGATTATGAACTAAGAATGATAATATTATCCCTAGATTCATTATCATCATAAAAGAGGAATTAGAATCTTCTTATACTGAATATATAATCTCAAACATGCTATTGTTCAAAGGAAATATATAGTGGATTGATTATTCAAACTGAGTTCAGTTCATGTTTTTGATACTGGATAACATCTGTGCTTCAATCAACTGAAGTAAAAACAATATTGATGTATTATTAAATTATAAGTCTGATAACCTGGTCATTTTTTTTTTTTTCTTGTTCTTTTGGCCATACTGCATGAGTTGCAGGATCTTAGTTCCCAGACCGGGGACTGAACCTGGGCCTGGGCAGTGAAAGCATGGAGTCCTCATCACTGGATCACCAGGGAATTCCCCAACCATAGTTATTTAATTATTCAAAAGCATCCTGTCCCATAGAATATGTTTATCAGTTTTATTCTGACTGGCTACTCAATTTTATTATGTGTATTATTACAAGTTGTTTTTCTTTTTCAAAAGTAAAATCACAGATGACTTGCAAGCATTATAAATTATGTTCCTGTGTTACAACCTTTATCAACATTAAGAAGAAAGTTCCAGTAATGCAGTCAAAGTAATTTATAAGGAACACTTCATTCAGTATTTCCCATATGCTTTGTTTTTATTATTACAACTCAAAGAGCAACACTTAATTTATTTTCAATGCCTACTTTACTAAATGGCTTCCCAGATGGTGCAGTAGTAAAGAATCCTCCTGCCAATGCAGAAGATACGGGCTTAGTCCCGGGGCTGGGAAGATCCCCTGGAGAAGGAAATGGCAACCCACTCCAGGATTCTTGCCTGGAAAATTCCATGGACAGAGGAGCCTGGCAGGCTGTAGTCCATGGGGTCGAAAGACTTGGACATGACTGAGCAACTGAGCATGCACACACTTTCCTAAATAGATTTCCTTAATCTCCAGAAAAGTAGAGGAGTACTTCCTCCATTTTCCTTTATTTTCTATCAAACCTAGCTCTGAAAGTGTCTTAAAACACAAGCCATTTAAAAATTATTAAACGAAGTGCTTGTCAGATTACTAGTTTATTTCCACATTAGTAAAAGTATGAATATTTTATAATTACATTTACCTAAACTTGTACTAAAAGTTTATTTGCCTATATGTGGAAAGGTTTTTAGAAAAGTATTATGAGATCCTCAAGTAGCGTGTACCTCCATAACCCATTTTTATAACAAGGTATAAGAATCAAACTAATCAAACAACAGCAAAAGTCTTGAAAACATGTTAGAGAAAGATTCAGAACAGTAAACACTAAGAGTTTTAATAGTAGTTATCTCTGAGTAATAATTGCTTGTTATTTTTTATCCACATTTTCTAGTTTTTCTATACTGAACATGTATTAAATTTGAATTTTAAAGATAAAAATTTCAAAATACATCCTTACTAGTTGTTTATAATGAAGAATGATGCATTCCAGTGATATATTTTGTTGTTAGAAACCCTGTTGGCATCACTGACATGTTGAATTAGAATCAGGACACCTGAAATACGTTATAATTTAAAAAAAAAACAACACTAGGAGCGGACAGAAGTCTTGAATTCTAATCTCAGCCAATCACTAGCCTCTCTAGTTCTATATACTGATTCGGAGAAATGAAAAGAAGGCAATTCCAGATTTGATATGTAATAAATCTTTATTGAGTTTATGGTATTTGATATCCTCTACCATAAATTTGATAACTGTGAATATTCCATTCATATATGTAACTATTAACTTTTACAGCAGATTTGTTATCTATAATTAATTTGAGTATCTAAAGTTATTTGCTTTCTTTTTGGAAAATTTGCTACTTTGAGTTCTTTGTTACCTTTAACATCAACTTTTCTTTATCGCATATTTTGTGCTGTAATGCTTAAAATCACTTAGTTACACATTTTAATGTTGTACATTAAATTGGTATCACAATGACAGCCACCATGTTTATGTCCTGAATTCAGTCATTCTTCTTTTTGGTTCTGTAGCATGGAAGTTAAATACGCCCTTTTTATCCAGGGTAATAGCGTAAATAATTAGTGATAATTAGAAAAGGAGGCAGATTTGTATAGAGTCTTATAGTAATTAAATTTAATATTCATAGAGCTATACAAAAAAAGTAGAGGACAGCAAGATTGGATGTTTTATGTCACACTGAAATATACTTCCAAAAATATAACTGCTATCATATATATCTAAAGAAATCATGTTAATCAACAAGAAAAAGAAAATCCAAAATAACAGTTGCCCTAAAGACACAAATATATCTTGCATATAAAAGGAATAGCCCATGGACTTATGAAATAATGCTTAATTAATAATCACATAAATACAAATTAAACATCAAGAAATACCAACTGATGGAACCTGAATTTCTGTAAACATTTTGGAGATTATTTTATTGGCTTATAAAATTGAACGTGCACATATACTTTGATTCCACCTTTCCATTCCTAGGCACGTGTCCTGGAGAAACGTTTTTAGACCCATACAGGGAACATCAAAAGAAAGAACATCGTAACATTGTTTTAATTCCTGGTTGGTTTAAGAATATATACCAATTAAGAAAGCATTCAAGCTCAGCCTTAACCAATGAACTAATCCAAAACCTGGAAAACAACCTAAGTGACTGTCAGTGGGAAAAATAGATAAATACATTATATAATCACACAAAATATTACATACTTGGGAAAGTGAATGACCTGTAAACTACATATGATGAATGAATCTTAAGAGTTTAATGTTAAGTGTGAAAAGCAAATCAGAGGAGACTTCATATTGCCTAACATTTTTATAAAGCTCAGAAAGAAGCAACACTTGGTAATGTTTTGTTTGGAGACAGGTGATAAAACAGTTTTTATTTATATTTTTAACTGGGGTGTAATTGTTTTACGCTGTTTTACAATGTGTGTTAGTTTCTGCGGTACAGCAAAGTAAATCAGCTGTAAGTGCACATAGATCCCCGCCTCTTGAGCTCCTTCCCACCCCACCCACCAGCCCAGTGCTCTAAGTCATGGCAGAGCGCTGAGCTGGCTTGCTCTGCTCCACGGCAGCCTCCCACGAGCTGTCTGTCCCGCACGTGGTAATGTGTATACATCAGACCTACTCAGAGCGCGTATCTGTTTACATGGTAATGTGTATACATCAGTCCTGCTCAGAGCAGGTATCTGTTTATATGGTAATGTGTATACGTCAGTCCTGCTCAGAGCGGGTATCTGTTTACATGGTAATGTATATATGTCAGTCCAACTCAGAGCAGGTATCTGTTTACATGGTAATGTGTATACGTCAGTCCAACTCAGAGCGCGTATCTGTTTACATGGTAATGTATATATGTCAGTCCAACTCAGAGCAGGTATCTGTTTACATGGTAATGTGTATACGTCAGTCCTGCTCAGAGCAGGGATCTGTTTACATGGTAATGTGTATACGTCAGTCCTGCTCAGAGCAGGTATCTGTTTACATGGTAATGTGTATACGTCAGTCCTGCTCAGAGCAGGTATCTGTTCAGTCAGTACTCAGGTTTATGCAGAGTGATAGAACTATTAACCAGCATACCAATAGATTCAAAATACTTCTTATAATTTCAGGTACACTCTATGTATTTGATTTCTATGTACCAAATGTTACATTATAACAATAATAAAAAATCTTAGGACAGAAAAACATTAAGCCACTACTCTGTTGCTTAACTGTATTGAATGCTATTGAGAAGTAACCATTGTTTTTGGCAGCATAAAGGTCACTAGTATCTATGAAAAGAATGGTTTCAATACAGTGATGAGTTTAGGAAAAAATAAGGAAGTGAAGAAGTGGAGACAGTGAATGTGTGCGATTTTTTGGATAAATTTTTCAGTGATAGTTAATCCCAGGGTTTGGTTTGGTTTTTTTTAAGGTGAAAATTTCAGAATAGTTTTGTTCATGTCAGGAATGACTTGGAAAGGAAGATTCTTTTAATAACAGCTTTATTTCCTCCAATATACCATCTTCTGTCATACATAAAACTAGATGTCATTTTTGATCCCCTTTGCTTCTCTCTCACATTCAGATCATCAGTAAGTTGAAGTTAGTCAACTCTAATTTTAAGATATTTTACTAAATCCATCTACGTATGTCTCTTTATATGGACCACATCTAGAGTGAGTCACTGTAGTAGCCTCTCACTTGTGTCTCTAGTGGTCTCCTGTCTTCCATACTTTACCCCTATAATATATTCTCTACACAGTGGATGGAGTGTTCTTTTATAAACATCAATCAGATTTTATTACACTCCTACTTGGGGATCTTTCTTTCAGGCCTCCTGTCACTTTTGAAATAAAATGTGAAGTTCTTACCTAACCTACAAGGGGACCTCTGTCTGTCTCTTGGATCTCATGTCACATCTCTCTTTCTTACTGTTTGAGGCACACTGGATTTCTCAGTTCCTTGAACTCACTAAGTTCTATTCTGCCTCAATACCTTGGTACTTGGTTATTTCTTCGACCTGGACACTTTTCCTTAGGGCTAAAAATAGGGCTGACTCTTTTTTTGGGATCAGATCTCTACTCAAGTGTCACCTCCTCAGATTTCCCTAATTACTCTTAATTGGGCCTATCCCATTGTCTTATTTTAGTTGCTTTATAACAACCGGAAATGGTAATATTTATCTACTTTTTACTTACATGGTTATTGTCAGTCATCCCCACTAAAATGTAAGCTCTATGGCAGTAGGTATCTTCTCAGTTTTTAAGCAATATATCCTTAGCCCCTAAAATAGTGTCAGGCACATGTAGGTACTCAATAAGTATTTGTTTAGTGAATTAAGAAAAAATAGGCTTTGTATCTTCTTTAGTCATGGAAATAATTATGTGTTTAGATGTGTAATTATTATATTAAATACATGAAGATGAAGTCTTAGAATAAGCCTGGTTGATCCTTGAACAACTTAGAGGTCAGTGTAGTGAAAAATCCACCAATAATTATAGTGTGCCCTTCATACACTTGGTTCCTTCATGTCCACAGTTTCTTCTTATCAGGGCTTCTGCATCCTCAGATTAACCAACCGGAGATCATGTAGCACTGTACTGCTCTTTACTACTGCAAAGAATCAGCTCAGCGGATCCACACAGTTCAAATCCAGGTTGTTCAAGGGTCAGCTGTATATTGCTTTTCTCAGAAATCATAACTGCATACTTTAAGCTAGTTTATTGTTCAGGATTTGAATATAAAGTTTGTGTATAGCATATCTATATTAACTTATAAAAGGGCAGAACTATAAAAACATAATCATTTTATTATTACCAATAAATCTTTTTAGTGTAATGGTTTTCATACCTACTATATATTATATAAAGTTTAATAATGTGACATTTTTAAATGTATGTTAACATTTGAAATGTGAAATATATACTATTCTTTAAATGCCAAACAAAAATATTATACTAAACAACTGTGCTTTTTTTCTTTTCTCAGGATGTTATTGCCGGATTCCTATATACCATTTTAATCTTGGTTATCTTCTATCCATTTGTGGACCTGATTGACAACTTCAACCAAACTCACAGATATGCTCCATTAATCATCATCGGGCTTCATTTAGCCTTGGGGATCTTTTCTTTCACTCTTGACACCTGGAGTACATCTCGGGGAGACACAGCTGAGATTCTGGGAAGTGGTGCAGGGATTGCATGTGGATCTCATTTTACCTATAAAATGGGTCTACTATTAGATCCTCCTCTGGATATATTACCTTTAGCTAGGCACCCCATTTCAGTGACTCTGTTTGGAAAAGCCATATTGCGGATATTCATAGGGATGTTATTTGTACTAGTGGTCAGAGATATAATGAAAAGGATCACTATTCCTTTAGCCTGTAAAATCTTCAATATACCTTGTGATGATATTCGAAAAGCAAGGCAGCACATGGAAGTTGAACTTCCTTATCGGTATATTACTTATGGAATGGTTGGTTTCTCTATCACATTTTTGGTTCCTTACATATTTTTCTTTATTGGTATCTCTTGATGGAGAAATACTGTTTATGATAAGAAAGGAGGGTATCAGTTACTGATATCTAAAAACCATATTCTAGTTAAAAGCCAAATCAGAGTTAGGCTTTTGCAGGAATTTAACTTAAATAATTATTTAAGTAAATTCTTAAGAGTCGGTGCATTTTATCACTGCACATCCAGTTATTGTTTTAGGTGAGCTGAGCTATTACAACATTGAGAAAATGATAAATACCATTTGGAATGTTCATGTAATATTTGGAGAGTTCTGTGCTGTTACAGATTCAAGTTATATAATATATATTAAGGAACATAATATAAAATTATGTATCTAATATATATTATATATAAAATAATATACCTAAGTTTTTTTGAACCACGGGGATCTATTATAAAATCAATAATAATATGCAAACAGTTGTGCCTGTGTATTTGGACTTAATACAGGTATGTTATTAACTGATATATTTAATTTTTATTTACAATGGGAACCATTTCCTAATCAATTGTGTAATTACTAGACCAGAATTCATATGCTACCACATATTAATTTACTGCCTCTTTTTACACTGCCATCATCTTTCATGTTATCCATGATGTTGAACATGGGAGGCATTTTTAATGGACCAAATTTTCCAAAAAATTAGTTTTTGAATTCCTTATTTTTTGCTTTGTTTTCCAGTTCTGTGCACTGTGTTGAATGTATTTTATTTGCAGTTGTTCTGGACATTAGTTTAATAAGTCAGGTACTGAATTTTATTGCTTGCTAATTGTGCCTTTCTGTTGCTGAACTAAGAAATGCCATGTATACTGTGATATAAAAATAAGACTAACTTTATCTTAAGTTACATATAATCAGACAAATATTTAAAAAAATATCTGTCAAGCAAACAGGGCTAGAAGTAAACCACCTTCAATTCTTTAGCCTTTGTTTAGAAAGAAACGTGGAACGGGCTAAATTTTCTCACTAATTTATTGGGAACCTAAATGAATAAATATCTCCATTTTTATAGGTATTTTTCTGTGCATTGTAAGTTACAGGAACAAGATATATTTTTTGTACATTGTCTTGATCGTTTATACTACAGGTAGATAATTCCAATGAATGGAAATGTACTTGAACTTTATAGATGGGACAATGCACATGTTTCATATATAAACAAACCATTTTTCTAAATTATTTGGAAGGGATTGGATTTAGCAGTGTTAACTTTTAATACCCATTTAGTAGCTACTTAACGGTAAATTATAAAATTTAAAAGTATCAGAATTTTAGATCTTATTTTTTTCAACCTTTTATTATTTTCACAGTGGAAAATTTGAGTATAAATATTAAACTATTCTTTATTCTGTCCGTGCCTTTATATTTTGAAGTGTAATTGTAATTAGGTTAACATTAAATTTATTTGTATTAAGTTTTTCATAAAGAAGAGAATTAACTTTCCATGTAAATGAGCATTGGGTATGGAATTACTGACTTAGTGCAATATCTGTCTGATTATCCAGAGATATCAACTTAAGATGTTTCTATTTTGGGCAACATAACTATTTGAGCTCATATTTTTATAACTCTGAGAATTTAAAGACATGGTAATTTTTGACAATAGTGCATCTGATAATTGTAAGTAAAGTAACTCAATTTACAGCCTTTACTTATTAGTTAACAGAAAACCAAGGCACTTAGGAACATACTGGTACGTTGGAAAATGTGCAAAGAACTTTTCTTTCAAAATGTGTTTACTGAATTGAATTTTAGGGACTATTTCCTATAATTTGGGTCTCTGCTATCTTATTAATTTTTATATCTGCTTAAAAGTATTTGAAAATATTCCATTTCTTTGTGATTTATTATTTTCTGTCCTATGGTAGTTCCATGCTAAATGTATTTTAAAATAAAAGCCAAATTCAAGATTGGAGGGTGTTTTGTTTGCCTTCTATGCATTTGTTTCTGTATTTCCTGGTAGAAATTTATGAAATATATCTAGTATTTTCATTCTAGCAGTCTTTTCCTGTGAAGCATTTCATTCAATGTAAGTACTGTTTTTAGCAATAGAAGACATTGAAGAAATTCTTTATGGTTCATACTGACTTTGGGCTCTATATATGATCATTCTGACATTGAACTTTCAGTGAAAAGTTTCATAACTTTATTTTTAAAACTTATACCTAAAACATGTTTCAATAAAATCCATGATTAAGTATTGCAGGTATTTGGTTGACTGCTAATCCATTAATTCAGGCTCATAATACTAGGAACAGGTACCTTTTCAAGCAGAATAAACATATGAACACTTCATTTTGTAATTATGAACTGTCATAACATGAATTGTAAAAACTAGGGCTGCCCATAGGTTTTTACAATCTTAATTTTAAAAACCTAATATAAAGTGGTACTACTATAGTAGATTTATATTAATTTAATTTTACTTATTAGCTTTCTTTATAAGTAATGTTTATTAAATGTATCTTTCAAAGAATATAAATATTAATTCAATGGAGTATAAAGCAAATTTTCATAAAATGTTTGATAAAGATGAATAAATACTAAAATGTTTTTGAGTGTTTTAGTAAATACTTATATGTTTTTATTTTTGTAATCACAGAATTTTATGTGGCAAAGACTTTTTATTACTAAAGCAATTTTATTCTTGTTAGCAAAGAATACTTTTAAATTTAAAACCAGCTGTTTAATCTGAACATCAATAAGGGTCAATTTTAAAAATTCAACTTTATAGTTGAATTAGTTTTTCTGAAAGGAGTTTTTGTTGTTTGCTGTGGAGATTATTTTGAGAAAGGGCAGCAGCAATGGTTTGAGAAAGAGTAATTGAATGTACTGAATGTTACTGTGTTGATTATTTTGTTAAATTTTGGTCATGTTCTTCCAGTTTTTGCTGTTGTACATAAGTTAAAAAGAAGACTTTTAAACTTGAATTTTAAATAACTTTTGTAGTTGAATTTTAATGGTGGTTACATAAGTCTAATCCTTCTCCGGGGAATCTTCCCAACCCAGGGATCGAACTGGGGTCTCCTACACTGCAGGCAGATTCTTTAACAGCTGAGCTACCAGGAAAACCCTGAAGCTATAAATAGCACAATAAAAAAAAGTTTCAAAATGATAACTACAAAGGACACTTTAGAATGCTCTTCATTTTTAAGCATACCAGACCACTTCAAATTTTATAAACAAAGCATTCCACACCTTCCTTGTGAGACATACAGGAGGGAAAATTCAAAGAAAAGTAAAAGAAATATTTCTTAAATAAAAATGTTTACAGAAGTAACCGCTAACTTTTTAACCTCAGCTAGCTGGTATTTCCTAATTTGTTCTTCTTTTTTCCTTTCACCATGTTTTGTCTTGGTATATTTCCCATGGATGTCTAAAAAGCCCAACTCCTACTACTGTAATCGGATGTGACAGGAATCTAATGGGTAATTTTAGGAGTATTTTCCTGTCAGTTTCTTAAAGCCAAATAACTTTAAGATTGCTTTATGACCTATGCTAACAGACTGTATCATGATTGTCTACAGCATCACTGGGTTTATTTTCAGTCTCAAATGTCAAAGTTCATTATCTCAGCTTTTAAAAATTCATACAGTTACCTATTATGCTGTTTGCAATATTTGTTTTATTTAATAAATATTTTAAAAATTTCTTTTGTTACATAATGATATTTTCTTGTGAGATGTAAAATGGATTATCTTCTTAAAAAATAGTTACTATAGTAATATTACCTCATGTTGCATGAATACCCAGTCTCTAGATAGGTATGTGCATTTTCCAGGCAAAAAATTTCATTAGTTTTCATCAACTTCTCAGAGAGACTGGTGATCTAAAAAAGTTTAAAAATATGTAACAGTCTACATTTTACTTCTTGTTCTGTTTTAAAGGTTTATGTTGTAAATAAATGCTTCCAATTCATCTAGTAAGAATTTTGTCACTTTTCATGCAAATATTTAAAGGATAATGATTTAGAGTCTTGAAGTGTTTTGCATGTAATTACTACAATACCCCATTGTATAGAATAGAATGTGATTTGTATCCAGATAAGTTTTAAGATGTATTTTCTTTCAAGTTAAAATAAAATCTGAGAAGAAATGATTCCATATATGTGGGGATATAACTTTAGTTTCCAGTAATAAGCTATATAAATATGTTCTTGAGAATTTCACTTTTTACAGTTTGATCTTTAATCTTCCACATAACCAACTAATTCACAGTCTGTATTTTTATAATTAAAGTGATATTTATAATCAAAATGTAGATGAGATACAGTTGGGGCTTAAATGTAAATTTTTTCAACTTAAGCACCAAGACTCCCCTTGCAGAGTCCACAGGCCTTCATGTGTTCTGCAATAAGGACTGCCTCCCAGGGGATGCGCTGGGATTTCTAGACATGCTCTTGGAGGAACGTTGTGTTCTTCAATTTATTTCCTAACCTGCTATGCTTGAGACCGGACTTTCTTCTGTAGGTTGAAGTCAGAAACTATCACACATCTGAACAACCCCAGCTTCTTAAGACGTGGTTTGTAAGGGAGAGTGTACGAAGGGGTTTGCTAGTGGAATCAGAATTCTTGTTCAGTTGCTAACTCGAGTCTGACACTTTGCAACCCCACGGACTGCAGCACAGCAAACCACTCCAGTATCCTTGCCGTAAGAACCCCATAAATAGGATAAAAGTATAAAAAGGCAAAAAGAATCAGAGAGACAGTCAATAGGTTCTGGATCTGTCAGGTAATCCACAATACATCCATGAGCACCTAAGTTTTCTGATTCAACATTATTGTTCGAGAGAGCTCTTGGCTTCCAATTAGAACTGTATATGTCTCTGTTACTTATTTTAAAAGGATGTAATAGCTATAATGTCTTATTTTTCCCTTACAATTAGCCCTCAAACATGTTACTAGACAGCACGGATCTGCGAGTGTAACCATTCCATGTTATTCACTTGAAACTCATTAAAAGAAAACTTTGGTGATTTTCCATGAGATGGTTTTGTAGGTAGAATGGAACGGTTA